TTCCATCCCGGGCCTCCATCCCGGGCCTCCATCCTAAGCCTCCATCCTGCGGCCTCCATCCCGGGCCTCCATCCTGAGCCTCCATTCCGGGGCCAAACCACAGAGCCCCTCACAGGCCCTTTCTGAGTGGGACCCGGGCCCATGTCAAAAGCTCACAGCATCGAAGAGTCTCCTGTGAGGTTTGGGGTCATCATTCAATTCTGACATTTTATAAACAGGGAAACTGGAACACAAACCATTAAAGCAACTCACTCGAGGTTACACAGCGGGAGAGTGGAAGCCAGGCCCACGGTCCTGAGCCCCCGCCCCACCACCTGCTCGCATGGCCTTTGTTTAATATATATGTATGTACTAGAGGCCAGTGCACGACATTTGTCCCCTCTCAGCCTGGCCTGCACCCTTTAGCAGTCCGGGAGCCCTCGGGGGATGTCCGACTGATGGCTTAGGCCTGCTCCCCGCGAGGATCGGGCCTAAGCCACAGTCAGACATCCTTAGTGCTGCTGCAGACCGGGAGGGGCTCCGGCCACCGCCACTGCACTCGCCAACCATCAGCCCAGCTTCTGGCTGAGCGGAGCTCCCCCTGTGGGAACGCACTGACCACCAGGGGGCAGCTCCTGTGTTGAGCGTCTGCCCCCTGGTGGTCAGTGCATGTCATAGCGACTGGATGTTCTCCCGTTCGGTCAATTTGCATATTAGCCCTTTATTATATGGGATATTTTCTTTCAGAGAGGAAGGGAGAGGGAGAGAGATGGAAACATCAATGATGAGAGAGAATCACTAATCATCCTTAGTGCTGCTGCAGACCGGGAGGGGCTCCGGCCACCGCCACTGCACTCGCCAACCATCAGCCCAGCTTCTGGCTGAGCGGAGCTCCCCCTGTGGGAACGCACTGACCACCAGGGGGCAGCTCCTGTGTTGAGCGTCTGCCCCCTGGTGGTCAGTGCATGTCATAGCGACTGGATGTTCTCCCGTTCGGTCAATTTGCATATTAGCCCTTTATTATATGGGATATTTTCTTTCAGAGAGGAAGGGAGAGGGAGAGAGATGGAAACATCAATGATGAGAGAGAATCACTAATCAGCTGCCTCCTGCACGCCCCACACTGGGGATTGAGCCCTTGACCGGAATCGAACTCGGGACCCTTCAGTCGCAGGCCGACGCTCTATCCACTGAGCCACACTGGCTAGGGCCCTGGGTCAGGCCGATTAAACGCATTTCCTCGTGACTTTACATTTACCTTCAAAATGCGTCGTGTCGATTTCCACTTGGGTCACCACTCCAGGGTGTGAGAGGCGGAAAACAGCCCACTCGCCCCCGAGGACGAGGAGGGCGCCGGTCTCGTCGCTCTGGAATCCAAGGGGACACGCGTGAGCCCGCGGGTGCCACACAGAACCCGCCCCGAAGCCGGCGGGAACTGTGTCAGCGGGAACCGTGTGGGCGGGAACCCGTGTTACTGCCTTCACTTCTCACTGTGAACATGGGCTCTAGGACCCGGTTTGTCAGCTGCCTCTATGTCTGCTGCCTCCTGGCTATTTCTTAAATGCCTCACGCGGCCTGAGTTCACTGGGAGCCGGTAATGTCTATACATTCCCAGCATGCTCTTCTTCCCTTTTTTATTTTGGCTAATCCTCCCCTAAGGATATTTTTTCCATTGATTTTTAGAGAGAGTGTGAGGGAGGGGAGAGAGAGAGAAACATCCGTGTGAGACACACGTCGACTGGTTGCCTCCCGCATGCGCCCCCACCAAGTGCCCCGGCCGATGTGCCCTGGAGCGGAATCGAACCCGAGACCTTCGGTCCACGGGCCGAGGTAGGCGGTTTCCTCGCTGTGAAGCTGCGAGCGGCCGGGGCCCTCACCTGCAGC